GCCATCTTCTCCAGGTTCTTTTTATATCCTGAAATTTTTTATCCGGTCCTTTTTTTTTTTTTTTGGTTCTTCCTCACCTAAAATAGCATTTAGCGACTATTTTCTATTAGTCACCCACCACAAGGTTTTTGGGGATGACATTTTAATATAGCAATTATATTTTCATATAAACTTCCTTGGTATAATATGCGCTTTTCACATATAAGCTCATGATAACTTCATATTGAAGAGTTTATTGACATTTATCTGCAAAAAAAATTAATAATTCAAATTTCTCTCTTTCAAATACTTTTTTTTGTTGGTCAAACTCACTTTCAAATACTTAAGCAGCAGCTATTATATATGATGTGAGTAGATTTGACATTGTGATGGAAGGTGGCATAGCTAATGGTTATACTTTTGTAGGCCATTTGCTTTCTTACTATTCGACCTTTGTCCAAGAGTGCATATAGAAAGATCAATGGAACAGTTGCATCACTTTTATGGTTGGTTCACATTTGCCTCTTGGAGTGGTGGGCAGGCCTTAAGGTGCTCTAATTAATTTGCATTATATAGTCATTTTGTTTTATACAATATATATATATATATATATAGTTATTACTCTCATCCGGAAATCCGCACATTATTATTATACGGATGTCATTGCAAACAGAAAGGAAAAAATGGAGGGGTGGTAGAAAATACATGGTGTCTGCATGATCAAGGGTGGAGCTAGAATTATAAAGTTAGGGTGGCCAAAGTAGAAAATACAAGTATATAAAACATCTAAGTATTCAATAATTTGTTATTATTTGAAAGGATTTTAAATTTTAATGTTTTATTTTCTGTTTTAATTTTTGGCTGTTTTCTTTTATTTATTATAGGAGTTACAAATTGTTTAATTTTTAGTTTTTATTTTTTATTCATTGCCTTAATTTTTCTGGTTAAATGTGTCTGGAGGTTACGAGTGTTGGATGTCTATAAAAGGCCACTCCTCCTTCACATTTCAACACACCACAATCAAATTTCTCTATTCTCATACTTTCATATGGTCCTTATTTTCCATATTATTTTTGGGCAACAGTTCTGTGGCTTAGAGATTTCTATCCGACTGGAAACGTGCTCATAACGGACCTTAAGCCTGCATATTAGGGTCGTATTTTGGAGTCTTGTAGACCATCATTACCTGCACATAGGGAGGCTACAAAGGCTTTAGGACAGCGTCTTTGACGTGCTTTCATTATACCAGGCTTGCTTTCTTAATCTTAACTTATTCTATTTTATTTATTTATTTGTCTCTTTATTTTTTACTTTACTATTTAAGCTTTGTTTTATTTATTAATTATATCTAAAGTTTGAATAAGAATTCTATAGAGAAGGAAAACACAATTTTTAATAACATAATTACATGTTTAGAGCTAAATATTTCTAATTGAGTCATGTCTAATTTGTTTTAGAAAATTTTTTAACTTAAATTATAAGTTGTTTATTACAAATTCTATATGTTATATATAATATAATAGAGGAGAGATACAAATCTTGGGGGCCAGGGCCACTCCAGGAGGACCTGAAGTTGTTGTTTATGAATTTTCTAACCGAATGTATCAAATATGTGATAGACGTTCAGTTTCTCATACAGTGATCGTAAGGTGAGGGACTTCGTATCCTAATGCATCATTTTGCAGGCAGCTTAACAGAAACAGAAGTGACTGCTAGTGTGCAGATATGAAGATGCCAAAAACAAAAGGAGCAAAAAGTGAGAAATATAGGGAGGGTTGAATAAGTTCGAATACAAAGTATCCATTATGCAAATAAAGTTTCTCTCAATTTGTTTGTTGCAGACGGCTACTCAATGAATGAACTCATTTATAGGAGGCAAGGCAAGAAGCGTGTAAAAATTTATCTGAACGTCTTCTACAAGGTTGCAAGTCAATGTTTATTTTACTAGAGAACATTAACCAACGCGTTCTACAAGTTTTCAAGCATTTTTCCTTATCATTTTAACCCAATCACTATCGTTATCATCTTTGTTGTTAGACCTGCAAAGAACGCGAAAGATGGGCAAGACTTCTCCATCACGTGGTGGAAGACCTTTACCTAAATCTCACAGTTTTGGTGTTTCCCGTAAGCATTTCCAATACTTGAAAATTCAAAATCGCTAGACTTGTATCCACAATACTTTAGTATGGATTTGACATATATGTTCATACCTGTGTGATGAATACATTTTACATGTTACTACTTATTGGACTACACTATCTATAATTGTGGCATACAATATATGAGTCTCTAGCTCTACACTTTTTATTACTATTAGGAGATGTATCAACAGTTCATAGTCACTAAGCACACATGAGTGTTGAGTTTAACATTAACAACTTACAATCACCACGCACAAATGCAAAAGTTGAATCTAGAATTAGAACTACATTTACTTTTTGAGCTTTGGGCTTCTTAATAAGACAAAAACATATTTTTCAACACGTATCCGTGAATGCTTGCAGTGATACATTTTTATGACTTTAGCGGTTAAAGCAATAATACTAATTGTAGGATATGCTGGCTCCTTGAAAGCACTAAAATAAAGATGGGGAGAGTTCAAAATGCTGAATTTTAAGAATTGATGTAAAAATTACCTCAACATTAAGTGTAGAATGTCCAGACCGTTTAAACCATTTCAAGATATGTTACTTTTCTCACATGAGATAAATGGTCCTAACACTCAAAAATGTTTGCCAAGACTGCACCAATTGCTGCGGAGGATGAAAATCTTCCCCATGTAGTGCAGTAGTCCCTTTTGAAATCAAAGGGGTGTGCAAGTTGCAACTTCAACTTGCATGTCTTAAATGGTGATGGTTTATAATTTCTGTGGATCAATCCAGTATTAATCACTATCAATGTCATTATCATCTTTACTTTAGACTTGCAAAGAACGTGAAATAAGGGCAAGACTTTCTCCATCACGCGGTGGAAAAACAAGGATATAATAAATACAAATTTATAAATAAAAGCTCCTAGACCTTGACCTATGTGTCATTGTTCTGCCTTTTGACTGACCTTCTGATAATTGGCCAAAACCCTGGTGTACGTTTATTGCATTATCTTTAAGGACGTGTTTGGTATTTACGAGTGGATTGATCATTACATTAAAGATATGTTGACAGAATTACATGGATTAGTCAAGGTGGAACTAGTAATTTTTCAGTGAGTGGGTTAATTAAAATTTTTTAGCTTAACATTTAATGATTTTTGTTTTCTTAAAAAAAAATAAAAATCTTACCTTTGTATTTTGAATATGTTTAAATTTATTGGCACCAACTAATCAAGTTTCTAAATGCAAAATGCAAAAATATAAATAATTAAGTTTCATGTATATATTAGTTGTAAACACAAGAACAATAGAATTAGGTTAACATATTATTCCGTTCTTGAATGAGAATACTGTGGGAGCAAATATTTCCGTCTCCAATCAGGGCACGCCACGTGGAAAAGAAGATTATATCTTAAATTAATTAATGGAATCAGTTATCTGGCCAATTAATTAATTGGGATTAATATCGAATTGGGATAAATATCTTAATTAACATGATATTATCTTTATTTAATAAGATAATATCATTAATTAAGATATTATCCTAATAAAGAGAAGATAATGTCATTATCTCATATATTATCTCCATAAAAAGAGATAATATCATTTAATTAGATATTATCTCAGTCCAACTTGATCCCTACGAATTTGGGTAGAGAATAAACTCAGCATAT